TGGTGGTTCACCTGTGTTCTTATTCAGGAGACCAAACGCCCAGGCCCTTAATATCTGAGGCTTGGCACAGGCGGTTTTTCCTTATTGACAAGCAATGCTTGCACTGCAGTTTAGGGTTTGGGATTATGTTTTGGCTTTTCCTTCTGACCTTAGTCTCTGGCTCAAAAAGAAAACTACAACAAGCACAACAAAAGGCAACTGTGTCGAAGTTGTTTTTCCAAAGAGAGAATATGCAAAATAGCTTGTCTGATACATAGGGTTAAAAATTATTTTGTATAATTGGCACAGGGAGAGAAAGGCTTGAAACTTACATAAGATGATGATAAGACTTAAGTAAAAAAACATTGACTCACACATTCCTAAATTTGAAAATGTTGTTTCCTGTAATAAAAACAAATGCTTCCATTCATTAGTTTCTGATTGATTCTCTTAGCTCTAATAAAAATAATAATTTCCGCAAACAGGTAGAGGAGATCTTGTTCAAAGATAAGATTAGATAGTTTAGATTACAGGATTCTGTGAAAACTATTTGGCTGGGTTCATTCTTGGTGTCTTTCTTTTTATTTGTACGAGTGGATGGGTAAAATATGAAGGACAGAGTTTTGGAAAGAGGAAAAAATACAACTTTAAAGAAGCTTTACAACAAACCTATTTTAACAAAAGCAGAAACTGATTTCACCAACTGCCGTAGTTTAAAAAATTGGATTTTATCTTTTTGCTGTGTCTTCTCTGGCAAATATTTTTAATGAGCTAAAGGTCTGTCTGTTTACCACCCATGTTCTTACATTACTGTACAGTAAGGAGCTGTATCTGTGCAGAATGTGGCTTTGCATACAGATTAAATCAAGATGACAACGGCTTCAAAACCTGAATATTTTCTCTAGAAGATATGTTTACAGAGAGAGTGGTACCTCTTCCTTCTAAACTTGAGGACAGATCCGTGTGCAATGATCTACAGTCCGTGGCTGTTCTGTTCATATGTGTACAATAACCACAAAATAGTACAGTTTATTTTACAATAATAATTATGTTATCAATCCTCTAAAACTACCCGTGTTTAACTGCTGATGTTGCAGGTTTGCCTTTTTGCCCTCTATCTTGTTGTACCCCATGAGATTGCAGTGAACCGCATGGGGCGAAACAAAGCACTTTGCTTGGCCATTAAACTCTTAAAAATTTCAGAGGGGATAAGACCTTATTGTGCCTCATTGTGCCTTTTTTTTGTTCATAGTCAACATGACGTATGAACATGTACGTTTAGTTTTATCGTCCCTAATCCCGGCCATTCTTATTTGTTTGTAATGTTTGAACTGAAGAGTATATGGCTGGATGTGAGTGTGTGTGCCTATCTGTCAGGTGCTGGTGCTCACATTAGTCATGTGGAAAAACAAAAGGCTCTGGGAAGCCGTGGTGGCCTTCACAAAGAGCATCCAGGCTCCTCTCTGCGACACCCGATCTCTTGTGTGTTTGCATGCACACGTATGTGTGTTGCGGGATAAGTGTGTGCGTATGCAATGGTGCGCTTTCTTTCTGGGGGCGAGGGCGCCTCATTGGCTGCTATGTCGGGGTCAACCTGAGGTCAGGACATGTGTGATGGATGGACCTCTGTCTCTAGACCACTCCGCAGCCCAATCCCAGTCCTCTCTGTGGGCCTCCTACTCGCCGCAGTACGCTGGCTGCGCGCTGCTATTTTCACATCTCTTTGTATGACTCCATTTGGCACCCCAAGCAGAAGAGCTGCGTCGGGCATTGAAAAAAAAAAAAGGGGGAGCTCAAAGGAAACTGCAGACAACTCTTTGAGGTGAGTTCTGCTGTCAAGATGTCGAGGTGTGCAACCCCTCAGCTTGTGTTGCTCACATAACCTCTACTTTACCTCCTTCTAATCACACACATCTTCTTCCCTGTCCGACACTTTCTCACACTTTGCCAGTCCAAGTCTAACACACATAGCTGGACAGACAGCCACTGACCACATAATGTCATCCCTCCTCTTCTTGTGCCCTCCTTCTCTTGCTCCATCACAATGTCAATCCCTCCATCGGCTCCTTCCCTCTATCGGCACATGGGGACGCACATCTGTCGATGGAGGAATTCATTTTAGCTGCCAATCACAACAGGGGAGTGGTCAATGAGCGCAGATGTGCCAATACCTCGACTACCGTGATGAGTGACTTCTGTCTGTCTGTCTGACTGGCTGAGCTTCCAGCACTTTGTCTGAGTTTATGTTGTCCGCTAACAGACTAAGAGTCCATGTGCCCATGAGAAGATAGGCCCCGCTGTCTTCATTTGAATTTACGGATTAGTGCAAGCAGCACATAATACTATAACTGTGTCACGCAAAGGAAACAGATAAGTTTGATTTATCTGTAATGGCTAAATGACTTTTTAATTCTCTAACGTAATGACTACTGTGGAAAAGACACATGGGATATCCCTGTAAAAATGTAGAAACTGGACAGTACCTTGTTCTGTAAGTTTTGATGGCAAAACGTCTTTACACTGAAATAACCTTTTACGTAAAAGCAATTCTGTTGGAATTTTCTGATATCAGGAAAAGTGATTGTCTCAAATCCCAGTGGTGTGTCTTACTCTTCTCTTGTCAGTCTTTTGCATGTGCAAGCGGACTCAGACACACGTGCCATTAGAATAAGATTTAGGAAATGAAATCAACAAAGACTGCCTCATTAGTGGGAATCAACAGGGAACAAATGTTTTTGTCATGTTTGCCATACATCCACTTGTGTTTGTTCTAGGATCCATTTAAAGTAACTTCATAGCAAATACTTTGTGCTTGTTAGTACTGAACATCTTACTGTGTCAGTTAAATGCCCGCACACTCCTAGATGGTGGCCTTTGGGCATATTTTTCATATATGTGATTCTGCCGAAAACAAATCTCTCTATCACAGTGTGATTCTTATTTAGATTTATTTATTTGTTACATTTAGCTGTTTTAGATTTGAGTTATTTAAAATAAATAAGGGATTTATGTTAGATAATCTATTTATGATTAAACTGAGGGACTCTATTTAACTGACTTGGAACAGTATTTTAGAAAAAGTTGTGAGGTAAGAAATAATCCTAAGTGCTTCTCTTAATACAGGACAAGTTATTATTGAGACCTCACTTCTATTATATTATTCCACCCAAATTATTGTTGTTAAATTGTACAGAGAAGTGGCTTCAACTTTATTTATATCCCTAAAAGCTTGACAAAATATTTAATTGGAAGTACTTTTTAAATACACACGCCTTTTATATATTTTGTCATAAATAGTATCATGTTAAAAATTTAATAATTTGAAAAAAATATATTTATTCTTCTCGTAGAAAAATGACCAGACGCTGAAATTTATTTAAGCTTGTTATCGCTCAAGGCTAATATACAAATCAATTGTTGTTTTACCCGTTACTGGCTAATTTGTGAACTTATTATAACAATTCTGATTCACAGTTTATTTTGTTTATCAAGATAATTATTTTAAATATAAGGAACTGCATTTATAGAAACGACAACAAATTTTAATTTTGCACCATAAACTTTCGATCTTAGACAAACCAAATGATTTTTTAAAAGAACTTTCCGAACAAAATCCCAACGACGATTGTTTTAGCTGGAACAAATATATGGTTGTTGTTAGGCACATGCACAAATCCACATAATTTTTTCATTACCTCTCCAAGCCTTGAACATTTATTCCTCCTTTCCAATACCCTCTGTGGCTCAGCGGTTTGACTCCAACATCTGTCATCGTCCACGTGTTTATCTCATGGCCTTAATGGGAACCATCAGGGCCCAGAATAATTCTAGTGAATCTCTTTTCACCCCCTTTTACCTTCTCGGAGGGTATTTTGGTCAAACAGGCCGATTTTTGCCGGAGTGTGACTGGCTGTCTTCGTGTTGCCCCGGTGTGGTCTGTAAACTGTAGTTTGGGTTGGGGTGGGGCTATGACAACAAACTCAAACCATGACCGGGGATTGACCCTGGGGTTTCATTTGAGGATTAGTTACATTTCACTGTGTGAAGCTCCTGGAGCGCACAAAAGAGTGGAGGGAGCTGCATGGGCCTAAAGGGGAACTGTGAGGGTTTCCTGATGAGACCAGACTGCTGAAACAAGGACCAAATCATTCATTGTTGTGTATAATTTTTCATTATGGACGCATTGAAAATGTTGAATAGAATTATAATATCCTCAAGTAATAATTATTTTTTATTTTATTTTTGCACGTCGACGAAAAGGATTTTGATGTGATTTAAATGAACGTATAATTTAAGGAAACACCTTAGAAACATTATATAATTTAGTTGCTATCTTTGGAGATCATGTTGGCAGCTAAATAGACACCAAAGGCTTAATTTGAGTAATCAACCTGTTAATATTATTAAAGTAAGGCAACTCAGTTATCAGTCACATTAAAGTCAACATTTTAATTTTTGATATGCTTAAAACTGCATACTTATTTCTTCTAACATCCCTTCCTCAATCTATATATGCATACATTAGAAACATATTTATTTCTATTTCCTAAATCTATGTATTCATAAATCAGAGGCATGCATTTCTATTGTGTAATTAAATCATAAAAATCAACAACTAAGACTCTTTCGTTTCGTATAACTGATTTGTCCTTTTATTATGATGTGAGTTTCAAATCGTCAGAAGAAATGTATTTAGTGTACGAAAGTTTGAGTTTTTGTGCAATTTCATTACTTATTTGTGAATTTCTTCAGAACCAAATTTATAAGACGAGGCTCTGCTTTGAGCATTTTTATTCTAACTGGCTTCGTAAAGCCCTCGAGCAGGAAGTGTGTGTACATGCTTTATATTTACTCCGAAACAACTGAAAATGAGGGCGTCTGTAGTTCCCAAACTAAGCTTACAGCCTTACAGCTTTCACGAAAAAACATATATTTCCCACTTTGTTGAAAAACCAAACACAAACATGTACACAAACAGTCAGATGAGAGGTTAATTAGAAGGAAAAGATCCTCAACACAACTTACTCTCCTGGTCCGTGCGTGCTGCTGCTGAACTGGACCCAGCGCCCTGCTGTAGTCTCAGTGGCTCTCCACAGCCCAGACACAGCAGCCACTGCAGGTGGATCCGAAGGAAAAGGTGAACGCCATTAATCATGGCTCTTTCTGCGTTTCTGTGCCCTTTTATGGCGGAATGGATTCGCATCCTGCACGCCAGGAATTAAAACAACACACGAACCAGGAACCACCAACCAGTCCTGGGTCTAGTGGCGCTAAATTTTAAAATGACTTTGCTGTAAGTTTATTTCAAAATCGAAACTGACTTTAACGCAACAACTGTTTATTTTCTTACAACTCTGTTCACACACTCTTTGCTGGTTGTGTGTCATTGCACTGCTGCAAATGTTCTGACTTCACCTTCTCGTCAGGTGGGGTGCTGACACCTCCGTATGTATCTTGGGGGACTGAGGAGCGAACGCTGACAGAAGCGATGGGGCTCCCAATCCTTGTCAATGTCCTAACCTCGATGCTTCAATCAATAGAGTTTTCTTTTTTGTCCCCTCAATAAGCCCAGAGCTCGATAAGGTTGTCATCACAAATGACGCTGACTCCCGTGCTCTCATCTTCCTCCTGGATAAACACGCCTTTATTATGCCAATAACTCCTCACCCCAGGGACGGGAGCGCGCACGGCCGCATACATTGAACGACTTACATGATTAAAACAGGCACGTGGAGTTTCTGTAGTTTCCCCGACTAGAAAGAGCTTTACTCCTTTGTGTTTGGAGCTTGATGGGCCCAATTCCTGATATCATCTTATAAACCTTAAAGTTTCTGTTGCTTTTTGCCCCTCAAGACCTTCCCCAAAAACCAGACAAAGAATAACTTAGTGGCAAATGCACTTTAATACACATTATTGACCCGTAAACGTCTCTCTAGACAAAACAGTTTGTGCTCCACTTGATTAAATAGCTAGCACATTAAAGCCTGGGACAAAAAGCCTTGAATGGCCAGCTCTGCAACTGATAAAACTCAGCGCCCCACTAATGACACATGAAGGCATTACGCATCATGCAAATCTCACACAGCACATTCAGACAGTCGACGGACAGGGACCTAAAACACATTAAGGAGCCACTAGAACGATTCACTCACAAACGATTAATAAAATAGGCCATCTGGTCGTTCGCATGATGCCTAACCGACAACATCCAGCGCATCCAGTGCGCACGTGTTCAAGATGCACAACTGGCACGTTTGAGGTATTTGTTTGTGTGGGCAGATGTGTGACTTGACATTTAGCAGCGCCGGTCAGGGGATGATAAGGGTTCAGCGGTCTAAATGTGATCCCAACACTTTGCACATTTTACGGCAATTTTCAGAAGCAACTGGACACATTTCAAACCACGTTTTACACTTCTTTTGACAGCTGTGACATCGTTTTTCTTGACACACGGCTGAATATAAAATACATCTAAAGCCAGTAACTGGTCCATGTTATTGTCAAAGCTCCCAAATAGTGCATTAATAATAATAAACGTTCCCCCGAAAATGTCAACCAGCAAGAACTTTGGTTTAGGTACATTTTGCCCTTTGCGTACAGGTCCCCGTGGCCAAAAACGTAAAGAGGCAGTTTGTTCTCAGTTTGAGGAGTAATGATCAGCCCCTGTCGAAGACACCGAGGAGGATGTAGGAGAGGGAGTAGATGGAGCTGAGATTGACCTCTCAGATGCTGCATCGTCCATTTTCTCTTGAATAGTCTCTCCCGTCTGAGAGGCTGGGACTTTGGCAGGGAGAAGACCCTCCTTTTCTCTCTTTTTCTGCTTCATCCTTCTATTCTGGAACCAAATCTTCACCTGAGTCTCGTTCAGCTGCAGAGCAGCTGCAATCTCCACGCGACGCGCGCGGGTCAGGTACTTGTTGAAGTGAAATTCCTTCTCCAGCTCTGTCAGCTGCTTGGTGGTGAAGTTGGTCCGGACAGTGTTCGGCTGACCAGCATAACCGTATTCACCGGACCTCCCTGCAAGCAAGAAACAAGTCTCTGTCAACGAAACCGATCACGTTGTGTTCTTTTTTTCATTCATTGCACACTGTTAAATCATTTCCTGTTTCTTATCGAGAAGAATCAACTTTTACGCAGATGGACTCACTTTCATTCACCAGCCAGGCATTATGTTTATGTAGATTATCATTCATCCAAGTCCTGGTACTTCAACCTCACCATGAATTCAGTTACCCCCCAGCCCATGATCAGAATCAGAATGCCTTTACTTTCATTATACATAGTGTAACGAGATTAGAGCCACCAAAAACAGAGTAAAATTGGAAAGTGTGAATAGAAAATCTGAATTATAAGTAATATAATCACGATATCAAGATTACATGGTGCACAGTCAATGAGGAATTTAGCAGTCATAAATAAATATGGTGTTAGTGTAAAGAAGTGGTCTGCACAGATTAAGAAATAAATCTATTGCACACATACTGCACATGGATATGGATATCACAAGGGAAAATTGGCACATGTTAGAGTTCAGGCTGATTGTATCTTTTGGAAAAAAGCTGTTTTTGAGTCTAAAAGCTGTTCTTGAGTCTATAAACGATAAAAGATAGGCAATCATTTTTCAAAGAGCCGAGCAAATGTTGAAATTTGCAGTTATTCATGTTGACACTTTGAAAAGACTGTGCACATGAAATCTGTTTATTCTGGCTGCAGTGCATTGCCCCCCACCCCACGAGTTCAAAGAGCTTTGATAATCTGAGCATAAGTAAAACCAGGTTTGCTGGCGCAAAACGTGCCTAACGTGCACTGTGCACCCACCTGTTTTCGGTGGATTCCTCTTCACTTTCATCCAGTCGAAAGTCTGCGCAGATGTGCCCTCCGACAGAGGTGAGCAGCAAGCCTCCAGGTGAGCTGCGTGGAGGGGGGACAGCGGGTTTGAGGCCCCGGGGTAAGGGCCAGCCTGTTCGTGCCCGCCGCCATAGGCAGCGTGGGGATACTGCAGCTGACCCAGGGGGGCGGCACTGTAACCATGGCGATGCTGGGAGACCACTGAAGAGGATATATTACCGGAATATAACAGTGGGCCGCACTGGGGGAAAGCGGTTGGAGAATCTACTTCCTGGTTGAGCGTGTAGTGGTTGTAGGTGGCGCAGAAACTCTGGCCTCCGTAGCTGGAGGCACAGGCCGGATGGGCCCCGTATGAGAGACCCAGGGAGCCCGACGTGGACTGGTAGGATCCCGGCTGATGGGGGATGCTGTCAGGAGAAGTCCTGCTCGCCATGAAATGGTCATCAGTCCCGCAGCTGCTGACACTTGCCCCGCAGGCCTGGAAAGTTGTAATCCCGTGGTCTGACTGAAAACCCCGGACCGAGCACGAGCCACTGTCCCCACTCATCACGGAGTATTCTAAGAAACTGCTCATTGTGGCATCGTTGTACGGGCACCTGGGGGGACCGTCCTCTGCCTAAACCCCTTCTGATCTCCTCCTTTTCCCACTCTTATCCTGAGTGACCGTGCCAACCTTTACCTATACTCTATCCTTATCAGAGGAGGGGAGGAGGGAGGGGAGCACGGGCCGATATCAATGAACGGGTGCTGTCACGTGGGCCCGGGTCAGCCAGTGAGGTACTTGTCCTTATCCCCTCAGCTGGTGACAGATTGGTGTTTGAGGGGCTATTTAAATTCCAAGCGCTCGTCGATCAAGGTGACGCGCGTAGCTGCTAATGTATTGGCCGAGCAAACAATGAGCTGGGAGGCAGACAGCAGTGGACAGCTCCGGGGTCGCGCGAGGAGCAGGGCACCGAGTAAACGGTGTCCTCCAACCCCCCCCTCCCAGCTGTGCACTCTCACACCGGGGAGAAATGAACGTTTCGCTCCCTCCCTGCTACCCAACCAAGAGGATGGCCCCGCACCCTGACCCCAGGTACGGTTATTTTTGGAATAGCGTACAGATGCGAGTACGTGCACGCGCGTCGTTCCCAGCCGCGCGAGTGCCCTTTGCGCGTAACAGCCGTGGTGTCATGTGTGTGACTCTGCCCTGGATGGATGGCTGACTGAGAGTGTGTGTGTGCCACTGCCACGGGCTATCTGTGAGCCATTAATGTCTCATTCCAGTGCGAAATGTTTCACGCTTGAACATTAAGGGATTTCCTCAGCAAATATTGTCACAGCGTGACAGTGAGGGAGAGGCAAGGTTTCACTCTGGGTAAATACAGGGGACACGTTTATGCAGGGAAAGAGATCAAATCTGTGCAACTTTTTTGTTTCCTGGTGAAGCTTGGAGTAGAGTTGTTCGGTATTAAGAGGTTAGTCATACGGCGTTGTATCACCACGTGACAATGTGCTCAGAAATTGCATGCTGGCCTGAACTTATATATATTTTTTGCGTTTCATTTAACTTCAGACGACCACGAGCATGAATGCTAAAATGTACCTGTGGGGCTCGATTTATAGGCTACCACATTAAGATGGGTTGCCACGGGAGAGGAAATTACAAGACAACACATTTTTACATTAAGTCGATGAGGTATTAATTTTTTTTTACTCTCAGGTCATAAGGTCCGCCATCTACTCTGGTTCCACTCAGCATGTATTCATTATACGCATAAAGTGATCAAATGATATCATAACGCATGGCCCGAAGTGGAGCTAATGTGCGTTCGTAGCCCGAGGTGCGAGTGTGGGCTGATTATCCTGTTAAGTTCATCAAATAAAGCTGCTGGATGAATTAATGGCCACAGAAAGCAGCGGTGAGAAAAAAAAGAGAAAAAAACACGGGGCTGGGAGGGGTGTCTTGAGGAAGAAGAAGAAAGGGGAGGGTGGAAAGGATCACATGGAGTCTTGAGCGCCCCTAAAGGCTGAAGGAAAACCAGCACCTTGAATGCTCTTTAGTATGCACACATGACCACTCACACTGCAGATGGAGAATGGATATTATATAGCTTTATGGAGATTAGCTAAGCACTAATTATGTATTAATCAATGGTTTTGTTTGAATGAATTGATAGGTGAATGCATGTGAAATCAGCTCTAACCAGACTGGATGGAATCTAAGTGTTCAAGTGGTTTGGTGTATGAAAGGATGAATGTTGCTTATAGTCAAAATGACTATAAGGTGTTACATTTCAGTGATGAATAGTGTTTTGTTTAAGTCTACAAAATCCACAAGTGCACAGACATTTGACTTTTACTAACTTTCATTGGCATCATGAAATTTGTATTTAGCATTCCAGTTTTAAAAACGACTTTATTAATGGATACAAATGCATCGTAAATGTTATACATTCTGATGCAAACTGCAGAGACTTGCTTTTGGAAACATTTGAGGATGGAACCGAATTACTTTTTGCACATTTCTAATGTTTTTTGTATTCCCCAAAAGTGTGAGTTCTACTTATGAGGTAAATCCATAAGATTGGATTTATCTGTAAACCTGAAAGTAGCTTTGTGAAGATGAGCCCTAAATAGTTTCACAAGCCCAAGTAAAGGGAATGGTGTTGCAAACTTCCCACCAGTGAAGAGGAGAGGGAAGAAAAACGCAGTAGGGTCAATACCCTCAACACCCTCCTCCCCTCTCTCAGTCTATCCCAGCTGCCTCTGCAGAGAATGTGTGGGCGCAGTGGATTCTGCCTCGCTTGCTTGTGGAAAAAAAAAAGTTCACCATGCAGGCCTCGCAGCGTTCCTGGCTCTTTGTGTGAGCACATGTGCGCAGAAAAGGTGCGCTGTCTTGGAATGATTTGGTTATACAGGCACCGTGGTTAGTCAGTGTGCAGGCGTGCAGCGTGCCCTCGCCTTTTCCACCCACCCCGCCCCCCTCCGAACACTCACACACTCACTCATTGACTCACACACACACACACACACACACACACTCACTCACTCACACACACTCTCCCACGCACACAACTCCACGCTCCCCACTTGGGATCCCAAGTTGCTTACGGCTCTTATTATTCGATAAAGTGAGTTTCACATGTGTAGATGAGTTTTTGGATCGATCCACGCCGGTCCGGTTCGCAACTGGTGGTTGTTGCTTTTTTTTCCCACACTCAGATCTGTTGAGTTGGACCATTCTATTGATTAATCTTTGCACGCGCCAATATCTGATTCCCATAAGTCTTATCAAGAGCAGTACAATAATGCTCGACCATTCATAATCTCTGTATTGAACTATATGAGTGCGAGCAAAGCTGACTTTATTAATTTTTTTCTATCAACGCTGCAAAATCCTCAGAGCACACTTTCTTGATAAAGCAAAGCCTTATTGTAATCCCCTACTATTATGTAAACGGGAAAAAAATAAAACCCTCTTATTAGCAATTTGACAAATTACACGTAATACGAGCAGCCTGTGCTGCGTTGGGTCTTTTCACACTGAGAGAGGGTGCAGGCTTCCCAGCCCGAGTAGGCTGCTGTTACCACCGCCGAGCCCCGGCCGTGTTTAAACAAGCCATAAAAATGAGTTATTGCAAAACACATGCAGAGACTCAGCTCCTTTTAGCTTAGGAATTGGGGAGTCCCGTATGAAAACGTAAGTGGGGTTTTATTTGTGCACATTACGCCACAATTGGTCTCCTTAATGTCCGTCTCATTCATGCCACGGAGTGATTTATGAGCTCCTGAAGGCAAACATGGCTCGGGTGTTTGCCTGCAACTTGCACACAATGTTAGGGAAGCCTTGTCGAGCTCAGATCCGTGCTGGCGTATTTGCTTCTTTTTTCCCTTTTCTATTTTTTTTAAACCTCACCAATTCACTACAGAATTCAGTTTGAAGGTGAAAACAGGAATAATCTATGCTACTGGGTTTGTTTGCAGCACAAAATAGTCTTAACATTTGACCGGATGCGCTCGTAATTAGGGGAAAGTTTCAACAAAACAAATAGGATTATTTTTTTGTATAAAAACGGTAAGAAATTCCAACAATGTGTTGCTGTTTTATACATATTTTGATTTAGTTTTAAAGTAAGTTTTTTCCTAACTTTGCTTTATGATAACTTGGTAAACTTCAGCGTATATTAAGCACGTGTTAACAATGAAAGTAATAGGCCCCCTCGACAACTTCAGTAAAACTAAGCTGTTTATATTCAGCCAACCTGTTGTGAACGTCATTTTCCTTTATCTTTCTATTCCTGCCTCTTTAAATTGGAACATTTTCTTCCATTTAAAAAAAATTCAAGTATGATTTTAAACTTTGCAAACAGGAAAAGAAACGAGCCAAACACCAGAAGAAAGATTATAGCAAGTTAATTGTATTCTAACAAAAATATCCAAGACATTGGGAGCTATACAAAAATAAAAATGAGCAGGTTCCATAGGCCTAATACCGAAGAGATATTCACACACACTCATAATTTCCATTCCAAGAGATCAAGTTGTTATGGTAATCACAAGCAATTTAAAGTAGAGCTATTTCAGTGATTTAATTTCAACCTTACCTTGTATTAACTGTCAAGTCAAATATCAACAAAATTATTGTGCCGAATATACAAAGAACATCAGAATTAATATCGTTGTAGTCTGATATCACAGGAGGAAGAAGGAAGAAAAAAAAAGCCAAGGAAAAGAAAACGTGTGTGGGTTTTAGTTAGTAGTTCAGATGCTGCAGGTCGATTGTGGTTAGGGACTCCGAGAAAAAATAGAAACTGTCCGCAGTGATGTCCACGGGGCTGTCCAGCGACTCTGACAGGCTGGGCGAAGCCGCGTCTGAAAGCTGTAGGCAGGAATCCGAGGAGAAAGCTTGGAAATCGTGTAAAGAAACATCCAGGGCCGAGGGACTGTCGCCATTGTCCGGGCCAGATGCCGAGCCGGGGCCCATTGTTGACATGCAGCCCGGAACAGTGGGTGCCGGGTTGGGGAAATGTTTCAGATTTTTGTCATTGCTGCTCAGCGGCGCGGCAGCGAAGCCGGCCGACTCTCCATTGTGGAGCTGCTGCGCGTTGTTCTGAAAGGAGCAGGTATCCCGCTCCAGCAGGGCCCCGCTCTGCTCGTACAGGGGCCCCTCGTCCTCCTCCTCGTCGCTGTGGATGCCGTCGTCGGCCCCCTGGCCCTTGCCGTCCACATTGTGGTTCTCCTTGCTCTGGGTCTGCCGCTTGTGCTTCATGCGCCGGTTCTGGAACCAGACTTTGACCTGCCTCTCGGTCAGGTCCAGCAGGGCCGCGATTTCCACCCTCCTGGGCCGGCAGAGGTACTTGTTGAAGTGGAACTCCTTCTCCAGCTCCAGCAGCTGGGTGTTGGTGTACGCCGTTCTCAGCCGGCGGGAGCCTCCTCCTCCTCCCCCGCCGCTCTCCACAATCTCGGGCGAACCTGCGGGGGAAAAAAACACAAGCGCCACGGTAGCTGGGGATTAAAACGCCGGACACAACAATTACATAACCCCGGCTGCCCGCAGACCCAACGCCATGTCTATCACAATGCAGGAGAGAGGGGCTCGCCTCACGCTGCAGTAAAATGGCCGCTGGAGCAGCCGAGGAAAGAGCACCTTGTCTGCTCCAAAGATACGCTTTGGATTGCGGTTTGGGGTTTTCTATTTCTTTCTTTCTTTTTTAAATAAAAAAAAAGCAGACTGCTTGAGCATGAACCAAACACAGTGCACTATAAAACAGAGAGGTCTATGCTGGTGTGGGATTCTAATGAATGCTCCAGCTGCCCTCCACGGCAAAGGCACTCCATCACTCTTCATTACTGTCACACATCAAAACTCTGCTTCGTCTGGGGGAATAAATCATCCCACATCACCAAACTTTAGCCAAACTTTTTTGTCCTGCTTAACACACAGAGAGCGGCATAATAATCATAAATCTACAGGAAACAAAACAGCCATAGCACTTTTTTTTCTTTCCTTTTTTAGTTTTTTTTTTTTTGGAAGGGCCTCACTGGGGTTCAGTAAAGCAACAGATAATACATTTGGAAAGAGGAATCCCATAGTTCCAGGGCACCCACCTTTTGGAGAGAAGCACACAGGTCCACTGGATATGGCGGTGGCTGTAGCGGTGGAGGTCGGCAGGTGGTTCCTCTTGGAGGCTTTCTTCTCCCGCATCCACGGGTATTCCGGGGGTAAGGAGGCGGTGGGCAGCGGGCTGCATCCATCGGGGCTGTGCCTGGGCCGGCCGTGGCGCGGATGGCTGCCCGGATTCAGGCTAGGAATGGTCTGCTCAAAGGGAGGAGGAATGAGTGTCGGGCGTGAAAGCGTCGAGCTCTTGATTGATGAACTTTGAAATGAATCAGCGACAGGGGGGAAAGATGTCAGGCACTCAGCAAGCGACGGCTGACTATTGATAAAACCGCTCTCTCGCTCGAATTCGTAATTCATCTCCGCTCCCTGAGAGCCGAGGAAAGTTTGCACGCGTATTTTTGTAAATGTTGCGGCTCAGTGTGGACGAAGAAGAAAAAAATCATTAAAAAAAAAAATTCTCCTGGTGTTGTTTTTTCTATTTCACTGATTACGGCCGTATGGGGACCGAGCTACTATTAAACTATTGAATTCATGGAGACAAGGTTGAAATTGGACCGAATTGCCTGTCACATGATTACCTCTGCCCAATGACAATTTGGGGTTTAATCAAAAGAAGCCCCTGTCTGCCTGATTGATCCAAAAACTCCTGTGAAGATCGCCTCGCTCAGCTGGGGCACGACTGTTTTTATTTACATCTTTGTCCGCTCAGTTTATCCTCCTGTCGCCCCTCCAGTCCACTCCACTAAGCTACAAAATGTGTTTTTTTAAGAATGGCTGACGCTCACTATTACAAGGAAGGAGCCCAGCCTAGGGTGCGCGGATTCGTGCACTCCTCTTTCTCGTATTGTTTGAGGATGTCAGTCGAGAACGCCCACAACACACTCAGACACACACACACACACAGACACACACACACACACACAGACACACACATTTCATGCCATTAGCTCTTCATATTTAGGCAGCCTTCAGAAGTAAAAAAAAAAAAAAATACTTAAAAACTGATATGAAATCTTCTTGGTGGGAATCAAACAAGCAAAGCATATCACTGAATATGGAAAGTCTAGTGCTCGTAAGTCTTTGCATATCACTTATGATGACATGTGCAGCTCATCCGCTGACATTTCTTGGAAATAAAATCTCTACTTATAAAGGGAACACTGACAGATATGGGCCATTCAGATCATGTCACCCCATAAAAGCAGCAAATCATATACAGCCATTGTGCGCAAACTCGTGTCAAGCACTCAACATTCAACACTGCGGACTCAAGAAACGAAGGATATTGTCATCTGTTAAGATATAGTTCGGTTTTGAAACGAGGTCAGGTTCACCGACGTGCTCGCACCATTTTAGAAAAATGCTGAGTGGAAAACAGCAAGCTGATTTTTCTCTTGAGATCTCAAATGGCCAGATTTTTTCGATATCTAAAATAACTATGGGCATGTATTGCTTTACATTTCAGCCCAGTCTTAATACAAATCTTGTGCAGTGTTAAAGGCTTTGCACACAAGGATTTATTGGAAGAACGCTGACTGCAATGCCGGGAAAGAGCCTCCCCACTATATTTTCCATTATCATTCCCACATGAAATTACAACGGAGCAAACATCAACATGGTTACAATCGACCTTCTACAACGAATCCATTTGCAGCGTTATTATGCAGATGGGAACGTTATTGAATCGCTCTTCCCCTCGCCATGTTTGGTTTCATTGCCCTTCTAGAATAATCTGCGAAAGCCACATTCAGAGGGGTTTTAAGCCAGGCAGTACATGTTGTATTTCCCCTTGAAAAAAAAGAGACTTAGCAAGGAACAGAAGGAAGAAGAAAAGTGGAAGGCCTCTCTCAGTTTGTTGCTTATATACTAAACAAAGAGTCCTGGAAGCCTGCGCGCGATCAATCTTACTCGCCAAAAGGTCTGACAGCTCGGTGCCCTCACAACACATTTAAGGCTTCTAACTCTCCCCCAGATCAAATGCAGCCAGGAAGCCCTGAGAAACACTGGCCACTCAGATTAGAACCAGTTTCTGCTCGCAGTCATAGTCTGGTTGTCGCTTGAGGGATATTTTAGAAGACAAATAAGAAGCACAGCCCGAAAAGATGCAGCCATTTCCTCTCTGAGACGGCAGTAATGCGCAAACGGTGAGTATGAGGGCGAAGCAGGGCTCGTCACCTGGCTTTTATTTACGACGCGAACATACAGGAGGACGTGGAGTTTTCGTTTCATAATAAGTGTATGTTTGTCAAAGGACGAGAGTGGGAAAGACAGAGTTGCCAGGGGAAGAGACGGATGGTTTTTTTGGAATTACGCACGGGCTTTGTGTGCAGGGAAAGGAGTGGGTGGCGGCATTCAGTGGACCCCAGCCTATTTTACACACGTATCTATATAGCAGCTTTGATTTAGGAACACTTTCCCACGAATGCAAGTGAAACGAGTGGAACACAACTGGTCTGTTTCAGTTAAAAACAGTATTTACACGCTACCTGTAAAAAAAAAAAGAAAACAACATATAGGTCAAATCGCCGTCCTGCTGTGTGTGCATGTGCATGTTTTTCTCCATGTGCGCGTGTGTATGTTGGAGGAGAAATACTCAATGCATCTTTTTTTTTTCTTTGACACACCATGCCTCAATTGTTCTGGGTTTCCCTGCTAACCATATGTCAGGCCCTCTATGTTCATGCCCACTGATATCAATCACTCTGGGGTGAAAACAAATTTAGCACAAAAAATAAGAGAAGGAAAAGAAAGAAAACGAAAGAAGAAAAGAAAATATAGACGAAGCAGCATGAACAGATATTGATGCAAAAAACATTCAACCAAACCAAAGATTGGACTAAATGGCTCTGCTAAAATAACGATATTTTTCCAGTGTCTATTATTATAACTGCTGCTCAGCCTGTGTTGGATATGGGGGAACTGGAATGTGAGGAAAGCATTTAATAAAATTAAATTAAATTAAAATAAAACAAAATAGACGAAGATACATTAATAGTTCATGGCTATTTCTATGTAGTCATTTCATTAAAAATTAGAAGGAAATGACAGAAATACACAGTCAGCGAAATGTCAGCTTTCCATCGACCATTTCTTTTGCTGTCATCATAACCGAGGGTCTTTGTGTTGAAGTGGCTTTACGCTGCCGTGCGTAAATCTGCAAAATGATGACACAAAATAAGGCTCTTTTTGATTCTAGTTCCGACTGCAGTCTCTCTGACCACATTTGACTGATTGAACGTACCAGCGAAATTATTTTTTAAACGATTTCTCATTTAGCTTGTTGTCTCCTTGCAGAATGTCCACGAGGCCCTGGGTGACATTTTTATTATTATGGATGTGCCCACGCAGATGAGAGGAGGGAAGAGGGCCACCCCCGAGCTGCCTTATACGTCGACTAAAGCAGAGGGGAGACAAAAAGGAGTTCCAGTGGATTTTTTTTAATGTTGTGTATTTTGCCGAGTTTTCTTTGTGTGATCGATGAGTAATTTGACGACTGACTCCTCGTTTTTTGTCGAGATGAGTAAGTATTGTTCTTTCTTTAAAAAAAAATGGAGCTTCTTTTTTAGTACAGTTTTTATTCTATACTTTTATTCGGTGCATTTTTGTGTGTTTTGTCTTAAAGTCACGATTGCATCCCATATTGGCTAATAACAAATAAAACTGGACAGAGAAATGGCTTGCTTTTGATTTCATAACCCTGTGGAATGCTGCTGACAGACGTCTGAATTGAAACTGAGGGAAAATGCTTTCATTTGATTTCAGTTCTTTTATTTATTTTTTCGAACTGGAGCAGCATGGAATGTTTGACATCGAAACAAAAATGGTGTGTTTCTCTTTTCTTCAATAAAGAAACTGCTAACGTGTGTACTATACTTTCCACCCTTATTGCATGACTGGTTGATTTTACATTCGCTGGGAAAATACAACACCTCCTCCAATAAGAAAATATGGAATCATAGCCTATAATGGCGATATGGTTTGCTGCTGCTCACGTCGAGGAACCTCAGACAACATGTTCGGACTGAAAAGAGCTGAGAGGTTCATTTCCCACCAACCTTTTTCCCTACGAAAGGAAGGGCGTAAAGTAATACTAAAGGAGTCTTTTATATTTTGCACCGAACGAAATAAATAACATTAGAAAGTAAATAGAACAAAACATAAGCAAGGGAGGTTGCGTGTAAGCTCATGACCCTTGTTTATGAAAACGTATACTTCCCTCAGAATCCCAACTCGTGGCTCTTGAGGTTTCACACACAAGTGCAACAAAATGCAAAATGCAAAAAAAAAAAGAAAAAAGAAAAAGAAAAAACAATACTTCAACTGCGGATAAATAAAAGACGGACAACTTCACATTGAATGAATGAATAACGTGTTCATAATACCCTGTTTGAGCTTCAATATTAAAACAAGACTTTAAAGGAAGAGATTAAATAGGCCTATGCTGGCTGTGTCGAGCTCCCCTCCCTCCCACACTAAACAGTCTAGATAAAGGTCTTCGTGAGACAATGACACAAGCAAATAGAGGAAAATTCAAGCAAGTCGTGATTATTTATCCTACGCTACTTCACACATCAAACTATAGGGAACATAAACAAAAGCAGAAAAGAAGGTGGAAGCCGTGAGGAGGCGCAGAAACAAAGCGGTAACATGTCTGAAGGAGGATAAGACAATGGGGCGGAGTGATCCAGACAGCGCCACTGCTACAGATGCGTCAGTTTGGGCGCTTCCTGGATTCTTCCCTGAGAGTAGTGCGGCGTTAGGTCTGTGTATGTCGGTGTCGGATCACACACTCCGTGATGCTGACTATTGCCCATTGTGATTGCTCCATTGTACTCCATGTTTGCGGACGGTGGGTGCGGAAGGTGGGTCAGACCGAAAACAGAGGCCCCAGAATTGGGCATTGAGTCGATGTAACCATAAACTGGGCTTCCTTGCATGTGTGTCCCGTAGTTGCCATTGCCTTGGAGGGGGTGCGCGTCATACTCGGGCGTGGCCGAGTCTGTTCCGGGGTATCTCTTCTGGGTGGGCGGGCAGTTGTTGAGTGAGTTGTTCAGCGGAGGAGGATATGACGTAGTAGCCATACCGTATGCATTGTGATGAGGTTTACTGTAAGACGTCGGCGACTGGGATTCGTATGGTACACTGTTTACAAGAGAATGCATAGAGTTGAGGTATCCTCCTCCCCCGCTACCGCCTCCAGAAGACGGGCCCACGGGACTCCGTGGGGACTGTCCTCCAGGAGAAGGCATCATCCCGACGCCCTTCTGATCCTTTTTGTACTTCATTCTGCGGTTCTGGAACCAGATTTTGATCTGTCTCTCTGTGAGGTTGAGCAGGTTGGCCATCTCCACCCTCCGGGGTCTGCAGAGGTACCGGTTGAAGTGGAACTCCTTCTCGAGCTCCACAAGTTGGGCGCTGGTGTAAGCTGTCCGGGCCCTCTTTGATGCTGCTGACCCCGGAGGACTCTTGTCTCCGGGGCAACTCTCTACTGTCAGGGAGAAGGAGAGGAGGATGTCAGTCAGTAATTCATTACAGACACACATGCAGAGAGGTAAAGAGGCAGAGACAGAGGAGTGAGAGTGAGAGCAGAAACCTGTGACAACACACACGCTGATAGTGGACCTCTGTTATCAGAAGGGGGGCATGGAGGTGATAGGAGTGTTTACCAGATAAATAGACCTATGGCCATTAAAGTACATTTTATAAATCGTCAACTCTGGCCTCTCCTCCTTCTCAACAAGAGTTTGCATTGCAAATATTTCAGCGATTTGATAAATCTACGCAGGACACAGGGGTTATCTTTAGGGCTCCTTAACACAATTTACAATCGATGTGCCTGTGCACGCGCTAACTGCAAAACAAGATGCAAAACAATGTAACTTAGTAGATTTAAAGAAGATAAAGTCGATTAGGTATTTGATAAGAAACCAAGTGACCTCAGCTTTTGACCTAAAGCCTTTTAACCCCTTACTTGCCTCATAGTTGCCAGATGCTAATACATGCAAAAGCGTTATGAGACTTAATCCACGGGGCGTATGTAACATCTGGACTTGCCCTCACTGATAAATTTACAAGCCTGAAGCTTGTAGGACTGGTCCACTCATTGTTGTGGCCCGCGGCCAACGTTTAATACATTTCAGTACCTGTTTCCTAAAGCTGATGTACAAGGAATGCAGCATGACATAACCTCACACATAACGATAATGCAGAGATGAAAGAGGTTACCACGTGGATTAGACCGGATGTGCACCGTTGGGTGATCACGCACTAAAACAGTTATTCAAATATATATATATTTCTGTGTTCTTTCAAGGTTTTATAGTGTGAATTATGCGTTTGGCATGTGTAAATGGCGTGCGTAAAACATGCTCAACAGATTATAGTGAGTCATACGGACAAATCAAATTATCTTTCCATGCACAGGACACATTGGAACCAATCTAACAAACGTGTTAGTGCCTAATACACCTTTTAACAATGCTGATATTTTCTGAATTCAAGTAAACACATCTAAATGCAACTCTGACCAATTGAACTTCTACAAGAATCTGGAAATGTTACTCCATGAAGTTAGAGGATGAGGTTGCTAGAACTGGATTGTATTTACTAACAAGAGTCAAAAGGGAAATTTGTCTCTTGCTTGTCAGTTTTTACTCAATGGCCATTTGATACAGAACACAATGAAATCACAGAAAAGATAAGAGTCTCAGAATTTACAGCTAACATGCAAATCCTAAAACCACCAACACAGGAAACCACCAAACCAATCTGTGTGTCCTTCCCTTCACAGTAACAGTTGACTCACATGTGAGTAATTTGTGCATTTAGGATGGCAACACATAGACTATTGTACAATATAGGAGCTGTCTAATTAAAGCTTCCCTTAGAAATAAAATCTAGTGGACCTGAAATAAATAGTGTCCATGATTGATAAGAAAGTTGTTCAAGCCTTTTTTTAAGTAACTAAACTCACAATCATGACCCAGACCTTCTTTCACCAAGACAGCGTAATATATTTAATTGGATTTAAAAAGAAAAAAAAATGCAATAACCTAAAATGAAGTCTCAGACGTCTGCATTTTAATTTCCCACTGTATCATAAAAGCTGAGCATTCATAATGTACAATGTTTCTCCGAATTGGTGTCATGTGGAGATGAAGATTTCTAAAGTTTTAAGTTAGCTCCAATAATGGCTGCCCCCCAGACCCCCTCCCACACACAGACCCACCAAGTTTCCCTCTAATCAAAACAGCAGGACAGAGCGGGACAACTGTTTTGTGTGTTTGTTTGCTGTCTCTCCGGGAACATTATGTGATCAGTGGAGAAGCATGTTTACAGTAGGGACAGGTCAGCTGCAGGGCATGGGGACAACAAGGAGAGATCAGATGGCGCAGAGCTCCTCTTCAGTCTCAGGCCTTAGATTGGATATATAAATGCATTCTAAAGCATCTTGGACACACTGTAACCAAACCTTTTTTAAAACACTTTACCAGTGAAAGCTACACTTGTAAATTTAGGGGCCAGTCTGTTGGACCGGATAGTGATCTGACCGTCTTGTGGACTTCAGTTGCTGAATAATTTGAAAGAACCAAATATGTGGTGTAAGATACATCCTGACATCTGACATTTGATCCCACAAACCGCAGAGTTAAAAAAAAAACTACGTGTGAGAAATTAAAACCTCCCAGCCAGCAGCTCAGACTGAACATTCTGACCTTCTCAGTCACTAAGTATTGTTCTGGTGTGGTTTTG